TTTAAAGTTTCAATTCCTGGGACTAGAGATGTGGCTCAAATGGTAAAGCAAAGCCCTAAGTTCAAACCCTAGTAGTGCTCCCAAAAGAATAAACTTCAGTTTCTGAATTTCTATTTGGTTCTTTTACAAATCTATAATGTAATTTTTATTACAGTTTCCAACTTTGTTTAAAAAAAAAAAAAGTTCAAGATTGTCTTGTATCTTCCAGACCATAGTAAACAATTGTTTTAAGACCATGCTTGAATAGTTTTACTATGTGTAGTTCCAATAGTCTAGTTTCTACTGTTTCTGCTGATTTTCACTTGTGCCTCATTTCTTCATATGCCAGGTTATCTTTGTTTCTGTACTTGACATTGCATTTCAAAAATCTGGAGAAGTAATTTCAGATTCAGATGATACTAATTTCCAACCCCTTCTCTACTAGATCCTTTCCCCACTCAAGTAACTCAGAACCAGGTGCACTTCAAAATCCTTTGGGAAGTTCTTTTTAGGCCACATGCAGAACAATTAAATTAAGAATTAGGCTGAGAAACATGGAACACTTGTTGCTGGCATTTTTTTTTTTTTAAGATCCCTATGAAAACATAGGGAACAGAACATTAAAAAGCTATGACTCAGCTGGGCACCAGTGGCTAACCCAGCAATCCTAGCTACTTAGGAGGCAGAAGTCAGGAAGGTTGAGGTTCAAAGCCTGCTGAGCAAATAATTCATGAGATCCTATCTTGAAAACACTCAACACAAAAAAGGGCTGGCAGAAAGCCTGCCTAGCAAGCGTGAAGACCAGAGTTCCAACCCCAGTATAAGAGGGGAAAAAAAAAAAAAAAAAAAAAGCTATGACTTCAATTATTTCATTTGGTCCCATCTATATACACTAATGATAACCATATTTTACCTCTAGTCCAACCTAAACACCAGATTCTGACATTAGCTATTTACTGAAACCATCTACTTGGACATAAAATAGAAATTTCAAATTTAACAAAACTAAAACATAGTTAAGCCTCTCTTAACGCACCTCCTCAGATTTCCCTTACTAGTAACTTCTGACTAAGCCAAAATCACTCTCTTCTCTTGCCTATATTATTGTATCAGCATGTTTACTCTGCTTCAGGGATATGCTCCTAAGGGGTAAGGGGTAGTGAAAGGATCTCAAAAGAAAAAGAGCCCAAAGTCAAATTTACTGCTTAAAAAGGCTGAATAGAGGTCATTTTTGTTAAAGGGAAGCTAAAAAGAATTAAAAAAAAAAAAAAAGACAAATTAGAGCCCTGGTATGGAGTAAGGAGATGCTTATACCAAAAACAGCAATGTAAACGAAGAATGTCAGTTTTAGGCATTTTCACCTGGGCATACTATACACAAACTTTTTTTTTTCTTTTTTTCTTACTCTGAGCAAAAGATATCTTAAAATAATTTATCTCCCCTTCTTTCAATTATTTTTTTTGGGGGGGTGGGGGACTGGGAATTGAACCCAGGCGTGCTAGGCAGCCACTTTACCACCTGAGTAATAACCCCAGCCCCTAGGTCCCATTCTTGGCAATTAAAATGACAGTACAATGCTGGGAATGTGGGTCAAGTGGAAGAGTGCTTGTCTAGCAAGCACGAGGCCCTGAGTTCAAACCCTAATACTGAATTAAAAAAAAAAAAAAAGAGTAAACCTAAAATGACAGCATGCCAGGAGTTTTCCTAATACTCCCAAAATGAAATTTTCTTAGTTTTTATTATTAAATATGCTGTGTACTATTAACATTTTAATCATCATCTGCTTAACTTCTTTAAATACTTCACTATTCCTTTAAAATTGGAACAAAATTCAAATGGAGTACTTCATGTTTCTTCCTTTCAGGCTACCATCAGTAAACTAAATTACCACTTTAGAAATTCCATTTTGTATTTAATTCAGTGTTCCTATTTTGATAACATCTAAAAGTAAATTAACTTTACTGAAGCACTTAGTGCTTTATACGAACCTAATTTCATAATCAACATAAACCCACAAAAATCAAAATTTTTTCAGAGATGTTTTTTCTAACATGTATCACATTCCACATTAACTGTACATAATCTTCAAAAACTGGTCACATTAACTGTACATAATCTTCAAAAACTGTTCACAACATTAACTGTGCATAATCTTCAAAAACTGGTTTCTAGGCTGGGTACCAGTGGCTCATGCCTGTTATCCTGGCAACTTGGGAGGCTGAAATTAGGAGGATTGAGGTTCAAGGCCAGACTGGGCAGATATTTTGCAAGACCACATCTCCAAAAATTACCAGAGCAAAATGGACTGGAGGTGTGGCAAAAGCGGTAAAGCACTGCTTTGCAAGTACAAAGCCCTGAGTTCAAACTCCAGTCCCACCAAAATGAAAAACAAAACCTCCAATGCAGTGCTTGCCTAGCTAGCATGTATAAGGTGCTGGGTTTGATCCCCGGCACTAAATAGGTAAATAAATAAATTCATTATATTGACATAAATTGAAATTTTATGAAAAACTATTATCAAAACAAAAAAAGTTTAATGAAAAAAGAAAACACGTTTTACACTCTTGTAAATCTCTGTGATGCCAAGGTAAAGACAGCTATCGTCTCAGATCACTTGTGCACTCAACTCTTGCAATATGTGCTTTGGGCTGAAGCACATGAGTATCTAATCTCACAAAAATATGTAGTTGGAAAAGAGAGAAATTACAAGTCTTTCGGTCAATTGTGGGTATTCTTTGATAGTATACCAAAGTTGGCAAGTAGCGATTTCTTAAAAACCAGTTTGAATGTGGAACACTAAACCCTATCGGTGACCTTCCCATACTTTGTTGAGGCCTATCTTGCACTTTGAATGGATGTTACCCCATGTATGATTCTGTAACATGAGTTATCATTTGAAAACTACTGATTCACTGCACTTTCACACAGTTCTTTCAAGTGTTGGCACATCTCATTATAGTATTTTAAAAATCTTATTAATTAATATTGCCACCAAGAAAACTCATATATTAAGACATGATCATGGGGCTGGCGGAGTGCCTCACGTGTTATAATGCCTGCCTAGCAAGTGTGAGGCCCTGAGTTCAAACCCCAGTACCACACAAAAAAAAAAGCTATCAAGGCCTAGCTCACTGTTGCATGCCTGTAATCCCAGCTACTCAGGAGGCAGAAAAAGGGAGAATCACAATTCAAGGCCAGCCCAGGGGGAAAAGTTAGTGAGACCCCGTATCAACCAAAAAGCCAAGCAATGTGGCATACACCTGTGATCCCAGCTATGCAGGAGGCGGTAGGTAGGAGGATCAAGGTGGGAGGGTGGGGAGTGCAAGACCCTACCCAAAAAATAACTAAAGCAAACTATCAAGCTCACGTAGGTCTGATCTACCCAAAATTCTAATTTTCCCTGGAAAATCCAAGCAAGAAATAGTTGCCAGTCAGGTTCAAGTGATAAGCTCATTTTTTTTTGTTTTTTTGCAAAATATCTGTCACTTAATACATAAAGTTTCAAAAATTGTATTTTATCAGTGATTCTTTCAAGTAGAAACAATGTTTCATGAAAGAAGAATATAGTTCAGCTTACAACTGCACAACAGGGGGAAGAAAAGCATTTTTTCTCAAAGCCAAGTATCTTATCCTGGTATGCAGCAGAAACGCTTTATTAAAGCATACTTTCCATTTTGTCTCAAAGAATATTACAAAGAGAACTGCAAATCAGAATAGCCATGAGATACCACTTCACACCCAGCTATGGTAGCCAAAATAAAAGGATGGTCAATAATGAGCATTGGTGGAACCCTCCAACATAAAATAGGGCCTTGTCTCTCTGGAAAAAGTGTCTGGTAGTTCCTCAAAAAGTTAAACATAGTCACCAAAGGACCCAGCATTCCATCTCTAGGTACATACCCAAGAGAAAACTTATGTCCACACAAACAAAAAAAGCAATACACAAACGTTCACAGCAGCATTATTCATAACAGCCAAAAAGCAGAAACAACCCAATGCCCACCAAGCACAAAGTACAATTGGATATAATCATACAACGGAATATTATTTGGTCATAAAAAAGTTATCAATACATGCTACAACATGGATGAAACTTGAAAACAGAACACTAAATCAAAGTATCCAGACAAAAAGGCTATGCATGGTACAATTCCACTAATATAATACAAAGGGATAAAGTACTTAGTTGCCAGAGTCTGAAGAAGAGGAGAAATGAGGAATGACCACTATAGGCATGGGATGCTTTTGAGGAAATGAAAATGCTCTAAAAGCAGATAACGATTATGGCTGTACAAGTCTCTGACTACATTTAAAAACTACTGAATTGTATACTTTAAATAAAGGGTGAATTGTATAACATGTAAATTATATCCCAATAAAACTTATTTAAAAGACATAACATTAAAGGTCAAGATTTAGTGAAAACTATTTTAACTGGTTCATCAAGGTCATTTTTCAATGAAACAAGAACTTTTCTTTAGCTCCAAGTGCAAGGTCATTAAGGTGCAGTAACTACTAGTACAGTCTGAAGTCTGATCCACCATCAGTCAAAGTATGAACACACAGAAAAAGGCAAATAACTTCTCAGTATTATTAGGAAAAGCCAGAAGTATTCTTTACTCCCAGTGCCATATTTTCACTATGCCAACGTAATTCTCCAACCAAATACAATGCATATAAAGTTTAACTCACATCATACTAAGGCCAACCAAGATGCCGTTATCTGCCTAATAAAAATTCCCTAATGCTTGACAATACCAATCAGATATCAAAACAGTATAAAATTATTGTTAAGGAGAAACTAAAAGTTTCTCCTTAACAACAGAGAAAATGGCAAAATAGGAAAATGAATCCTTAGTTTCAAAAACTACAAATTTTCACAGAACTTGGAAAATGTCTACTTTCATAGAAACATAGGAATACATATCATCTTCAGTCACATGGTGATAAACCCCTAAGGTAAAATTATTTCCTATTTACTATCACTATACTTTTTATGGCACACATCACTTAAGACTCACCTGCAGGACTGTCAGCATTCTCTCCTGGGTGTAGCTGTATACCAGTAGAATCTATAGAGTTTACTGTAACTGTCTGTAGATTTGGCAACTGACCAGTGCTTAGACTAACTGGAGTTGAAGTCAAGGCTCCACCTGCTGCAACTTGACCAAGCGTGAGTGTCTGAACAGGAGTCAAAGTTATTTGTTGGGCAGCAGTATTCTGTATTTGCAAATTCTGTAAGTTCTGGACCCCTTGTACTTGAAATGTTTGCCAAGTTATCTGTCCAGAAGGGGTCACTGTCTGTGCCTGAATTAGAAAGGTTCCAGGATTCAGCTGCAACTGAAGATTTTGCAAAGCCTGTTGTGATATATTTTGACCACTGGCTTGCACACCATGGATTGTCTGTGGTGTAATACCTTGCACAATTTGGGCTTGACTGGTTGGCTGCTGAGACTCTTGAAGTTGTAGATGTTGTACAACAGGCTGTGCTGTAGAAACCTGAATATTCTGAGCCTGTGTCTCTTCAGAAACAGGCGACTGGATATAATTTCCCTGAAGATCTGAAGAATGGACTTGTCCACTAGAAGTAGTCAAGCTATTTGTGTTTTGTTGTAATATACCTGTACTATCTATCGTAACAGGCAACTGTGATGAAGAGGATGTTGGCACAAATAAATCTGTATCAGTATTAGTTTCATTAATATCAGGAGAAACCCGCTCACCAGTCCTTTCTGAATTGTCTGAACTATCCATAGCTTGTCCTGTGTTTATCAAATGTCCATCGGCATTAATGCCTGCAGTCATTGTCTGAGAACTGCCCGAGAGTCCCAAAGAATCTAGATCGACACTATTGATTGGTACAAAGGTAATATTTCCTGGCAGACCAAGAGGCACATTAGCAACTACTTGGGTTTGGCCAGGAAAAGATGAACCACCAATCGCAACTCCCTGAACCTGGACTTGACCAGTCTGTGGTATGAGATTCTGGATATTAGCAGGAGGTGTTCCAGAGGCAAGTAAGGTTTGATTAGAGCCAGGAATGATCTGAATTTGACTACTTTCTTGATTTACACCCCCATTGTCTGAAGAGCCTGTAAAACCAATCTGAACCTGCTGACCATCTGTTGACTGAATCTGTGGTATTACTTGATATTGAACATTGGACACTGTACCATTTGATGAATCTGATCCTGGTGCAACTGAAAATATTTGCTGATTCTGCAAATTCTGAAGGGGAAGGACATACTGCCCACTTGAAGTAGCAGCACTTGGAATCTGTACTAGATTACCAGCTTCATCTTTTATAGTTGTAGGTGTGGCTGACAAAACCTCCCATCGGTTTGGTGCTCCTCCTAATTGTGCAGAAGCCAAATCACCTGTCTGAACGAAGAAAACAAAAATGTGATATATTTGTGACATGTTTAAACCAATTCTCAAAAAAATAACCTCTCAACTACTATAAATCCTACTACCTGAAAATGAAAATGAAAGTAATTTTAACAATACAACATAAGGTAAAATACTATACAAACTATAATAATTAATCACTTCCAGTTGTTAGTTACTGCAAAAGTTAAATAACCCAACCTATTTAAACAAGACAAGTTGTCTTGGTCAGAATATTCTAGATTACTTGTTTTACAACCACACACTGATTTTTTGGGGGTTGAGGGGTGGCAGGGGCTCACTATGTTGCCCAGACTGGTTTTGAACTCATGCATTCAAGGGATCCTTCTGCCTCCCAGCCTCCCGAAGAGCTGGGACTATAGGTGTGTGCCACCACAGCTAGTTACACAAACTAATCTTGTAATCCCTGTTCTATAATCACTAATCTTGTACAGTTTTTAAAAGAAGATGAAGGTAATCACACAAGATTATGAACAGTTCAAACCAAACATACCTCAACTACTGGAGAAAGTTCAGAACGTATATGAAACCCACTAAAAATAGGACTAAATCAGGTACACTATATTTGTGTACAAAAAAAGAAACATTAGCTCAGTGTTAAGTCATAAAGTTAGAAAAGATTTATATACTGCTGCTATAAGCCATAAATCAAACAATTAACGTTGCCAAACACTTTATTTTTCTCATGAACTATTTAAAAAGGAGGAAAAAAATGAGGCCTTAAAAGTACTTATTGAGGAAAGGTTATTGTCCTCTGGCCACATAGCAGGTAGCCCCACTGAAAAGTTTTTCTAGAATCTAAAAACAGGAAGAAATAGACTATGGCTTTACCTGCTATTCTAAGATTGCAGTAGAATGACAGATATGAATGTCTGGCATTCTGTGACCTGCTAGAATCTGAGGTATCATCCCATAGTTTCTGGATTGGGCAGGACTGGAAAAATGCCCATGTAGGAAGACAAAAAGCAACAAAATCCTGTATGTCGATGTCAAAGGGTAGTTTTCTTTTTCTAAGGGAATAATAGTAATATCTAACATTTCAAGTTTTTCTTTTATATGCATAATCACAGTTACCAAATGGCCAAGACAGGATTTATACTAAAGCTAAGCGTAACTTTAGAACATAGACCCTTTAAGTACAATGACTCTGGGAATAAGACCTTACATGATTTACTTATCAAAATAAAGCCATGTTTATTCCACTTACTTCTAGATGTATTGGTGGTTTCTGTAACTCAACATTTAACTAAACAAGGTGAACTTACAAGCATATCTACCCTAGCAATGTCAAAATAGGATATATGACCTGGCTTCAAAGGAACGTTGAATTCTCTAAAACAGCATATCCACTTTTTGACAAATTACAATTTAAGGAAGAGGGCAGATCCCTAGGGTTTCAGCATATTCTCAAAGGGGTCTGTGACCACAAAAGAGGTTAAGACAAATACTGTTCTAACAAATAACTTCATGAAATCTAGCGCAAATATTAAACCAAGACATCTTAAATTTCTTAAAGAAATTCACTACCTATGTTTTCATAAAATTGAGAAGTTCATAGTTCAAAGGATGAACCACAGTTCATCCTTGACTCAATAATCATTTGAAATTTATCTGCCAAAATGAACTAAACATACGAGTAAACAATACAATCCCTACCCTCAAAAGGGTCTATCCAAGCAAACATTGACATACATGCTGTGAAAAGTGGCATATTCTTACCATATCATCAAAACACTATGTGGTAACATAGATTGGGGGAAAAAAGATTTCACATAAAAGATATTTGAAATAATATTTGAATAAAACATAAAATTTCAGTGATCAGTTAGAACGGGAGGCATTCATAAAGGTATAGAAGTAATAGAATCACAAACAAAAAGAAACCCCATGCAGTTTGGAGTTCAAGAAAAGATCCAAAAGGCCCTTATTTCTAGTCAAAATGGGAACAGGACTAGACATTTTCATCAAGGCTTATAAATGGCTTTGTAGATCCCACTGAATTGTTTGGACTTTATCCTACAGATAGTGAATGAAAGCTATAAAAGGTTTATAAGCAAGTGAGTGGTGCAATCACATCTGTATTTTATAAAGATAAACTAAGGCCCAGTGAAGGAAACAGGCAGAAGAAACTAAGGGCAGAAAAACTAGATCCAGTACAAATCTCTAGACCTGAACTAAAATACAAACACTTAAAACTTATTAACCTTAAATTTCAAAATGAAACACCACACATTAAAGTCACCTATCTGGTATTGAAATTACAATCAGAAATGATTTTTCCTAACATTATAGTAACAATTTCTCATTTCATTTTTTTGGCATTTTAAGCAAACTAAAGATTTAAAACCTATACTTTAAAATTAAATCTGCACAAAAGTATGTCTAGATTACTCTTCAACAGAAAATTTTTTTCTGGCCAACATTGAATTTGCAAACATTCAACTTTTATAAAAGGATTTAATATCTTTTATGAAAATATCTAAGTATCTTCTACATAAACTAATTTTACAATACTGGCATTTTCTTCTTTCTTTAAAAAAAAAAGTCAAATTTATGGCATCTAAAGTTTCTTTTTTTTAACAAAACAGTAACAAAGCAGATTCAGCCATGAATGAACAGCTTTTTGTCAAAATTCCTTGAAAACAAATACAACTACTCAAATGACAAGTCTGAGTAAATATTGCCCAAGTCATCCCTCTCCAGAGCTAAATAAAAATAAACTGTAGTACCATTTTCCCTAGCAATGCAGACCACTAAAAGAAGGAAAAAAAATCTGTAAATCTAACACAAATGATATATACTGAACTTCTATGAATAAACCTAAGGTGAAAGGCATGTTAAAAAAAAAAAAATCTAAGGCCAGGCATAGTGGCACACACCTGTAAATTCTAGCACTCAAAAGATGAGGCAGGAAAATCAAGTACTAGGCCATCTTGGGGTAAGCAAGACCCTGGACCTTGTCTCAAAAAAAAAAAAAAAACTATAAAGCACTGCCATCCCAAGATGTCACTGTAATTACTAAGATGACAACAGATTTGAAAAACATCCTTTAGATACCCAGTACAATTCTTGGCGCAGAAGATCAATATACATTTGTGAATGAATAAAGGTATTTTAGCTTAAAAATCACTGTAAAGAAAATGATTAAGAAGACATGGGATGATAAAAATGGAATAAACTGATTTTGATGTTTGAGACTCCTAAAACAAAATTTTAAGCCCATCTCCCTAATTCCACAACGAATAAATTCCAGATACTTCAAAACTACAGTCTTAAGTCCATTAATTTGTAAAAGATTCATCAGCAATATACCAATGAAAGGAAGTACATTAAATATCAAATAGAAAGGAATAAATTAGAAAGTCATGTGACACCAAAAAAGTTTTAAAAATGTTAAGGCTACTGGAAACACCATAGAAACAAAGACATAAAAACACAATCCTCTAAATTCACAAACAAAAAGAAAAATCCACCAGTGTTTTTCTCAGTAACTCTAACATTTTATTGAATAACAAAACATCATCTAACATGAAGGCTGGCATTGTTATAAAAAACTATAAGCTATCATTGAAGGCATGATAACGCTCCCTCCATACATAAACACATAACCCATAAGGTGAAAAGCTAAAGTGGAATCAAACTAAAAGCATTCTTAGGTAAATACTGTCGTAAAATTAAAATCTTCAAGAAAACAGTAGAACTCAAACCAACCTCATTAGTTAAAATGACTGTATTGTTTTGTGGTGCTGGTGATGGAACATAGGACCTAGCACATGCTAAGCAAGCAAGCATTCTACCACTGAGCTACATCCTAGTATTATACTAAAATGGCAAAAAAAATAATAAAGTCCCTTTTCTTCAAATAAGCTATTGTTCACTGTTTTACTTCATCAACGTGTATCTGCTAAACTAAGACACTAACTTTACACCAAAGATCAGGCAATGACTTTCATAATATTTACTTGTTCAGCTTATTTTACTGAAGTACAAATAAAATAAATTAATAATCCACAAGTTCATACATGCAAGTTGGAAAAGCTAATTCTTGCATAAAAGTCTACTCTTTTCTAGTTCCTGATTTATTACTAAAATTTAACCATACAACTTTTAGTAAAAGTACAAAGGAGCCTTGCTATAATACCATCTTTGGGAGTCAATGTTGTGGTAGGTACATTATAGGTCAGACTACTTCCTGATTGGACTTCTTCAGCACTGTACTAAAGGTAACCAAACAATGTTGGTCAGGATCTTCTTTTATAACAAATTCCAAAATTTAAAGCCAATCTTCAGTGGAGGTAATTGGCTTTTCAAGGCCTTTCAATCTTGAAACACCAGAAGTTAAACTGGCATAAAGTTTAACTGTATGTGTGTATTTCCACTTGATTTCAAACACAATACTATATGCAATATGGTATCCTGGATTAGAGCCTGAGTCAGAAAATGGACATTAGTGGAAAAACTGGCAAAATCCAAATAAAGTCTGTAAGTTACTTTAATAGTATCAGACTAATGTTAATTTCCTAGTATTGACAAACATACCAAGGATATGTTAACATTAGGGGAAGCTGGGTGAAGGGTACAAGGTGGCTTTAGTTCTGTATTTCCAACTTTCCTATAAATCTAAAATTATTCCACGGTTTTTAAAAAACACAACTACAAAAAATTCTGTAGCCCTCTCATGATTTCCAGTAATTTGAGTTAATTAAAATAAGGTACATTATCTAATTCTGTTTTTAAATAGAAAAAAAGACCCAGGAACTCATCTGAATCATTTTCTGAGATGTACTGAAAAAAAAAATCTGAAATTCACCTTTAGGCTGGAAAAACACCCACCACCATAATGTAATAGTATAATGCAATAATAAAAAAGCTGGTCTTACAACTCTACTCAAAGTGAGAACTTTGCAAACAGGTAGGACGTTTGAGGTTTCCCAAGCAAAATTTTCATTTTCATTTTATTTTGATTGACAAGT